CCTACGCTCTCCGAAGATGAGGTGACTTTGTATGTGCTACTGAATGAAGGCTTGAGAAATAGCACTTAAAGTAAAAGTACGCTGGGGCTGGAACTGAGTGAAATTGCTCAATCGGAAAGATAAGAAACGGACATAAGAGCCCACGAGACAGATCCATACAGGAGCCTAGAGCAGGATCAGCCACTCGAAAAGGAGAGGATCAAGGCAAACAGCAAATTGTGAATTTGCTAAAAAGGCACATCTCTTGTGCAATATAAACGTGTCAGAAGTTGTGATAGGACGAGGGCTAGACTAGAGAGCAAGAAATGGATTGAGGGACCAGTTTTCTTTTCAACTAAATTTTTTCTTTATCACCTCATCCTCGTCCAAATTATTAATATTACGAGACTTAGGCTCCTTAGCATAATGCATTTCATAAAACAATCCTTTTTTTCTTCTTTCATGCCACGATTTTCAGACTTCATTATATTGGCTTTAAAATTTCATTTCACATTTTTGCCGAGCTCTACGTTTGAATTCCTGACGCCCAACTAACCCTGGCCTTTTATTTATGCATATCTTAGCTTTAGAATAAATTAGTCGAATTTGAGCCATATTTGTAACAACGTATAAAGAGCCTAATGCGCTCTATGGTGATGCTCAGTCACATTATTTCACCATATCAACTAAAAAAGTTGAGGGCGAGATCTTTCATATGCTGTTACTGAAATCGCTCTGACATTCAATACAAGAACATTTCACCGAATGAAAAGTGACAGTGAGTCTAGCCCGATGTCTGATTGTAAAAAATAAAAAACGGTAATTTAATTCTTCAAGATGGATTTTTTGATAGTATCATTTGTGCCTGAAATATGCGTCATGGTTTATTATTCTACTTACAGCTACGTAAGGGGGATATTTTATTGTCAGTGAACGGTCGTAGTCTGATAGGCCTTCAGCATGGAGATGCTGTGGAGCTTCTGCGAAATGCCACTACAAACCAAAATCGAGTGGAGATCACTGTTCTTGCTGGCAGCGAAACTAGTCTTGGAGCCGCCAATTTCTTGCCATCTTGGAATTATTGGTTGCAAGTGCCAATAGAACTAGTCGGTACCATAGCCAAGCAAGTTTTGCTTCGCAGGCGTGGACTAGCTTGTGTACATCTCCGGGATACGAGACAAACTCTGAGGGCAAATGAAGAGGATGTGCCGGTCCGATTTATCGAGAATGGAGTTGAGCCCCTCGGCTTCAGCATCGTTGGCGGGTGTGCAGACTTCCTTCAGGTTCGTTTTTACTTGGCTTCTACTTGTTTCCTATTCATTTCCTATTACATTTTAATAGATAGTGATTAAGTGTCGCTTATTTCTCTACCCACAAGACGCGGTTTGCGAAAATATGAACCTGCAAAAGCCGTAAAAATCTAGCAAGATCTGGACTTTTCGAATCTCATTCCTTTGTAGCTTTCAGCAGAGCAGCACATCCTTTATCTGGCTGTCGTCATCCCGGCTAAGAGTCGGTACAATAAGAACTTTAGTCAGCCTAGATCACTTAAGGTGATCTAAGCACGAATAGTTATTCTTTCCCAGTGGCCTCATAATGTCACTGAATTTCACCTACCCTTGCCTCCCAAAAAGCCCTCATCCAGGCTGCACTACAGTTTTGACCCTTTCTAGGATTCTAGACCTTGTGCATGTCGTGATGACGTATTTCCTCTCCGCTTCACAGCCAAAGGTGCTGATGGGATCACAAGGAAAATGTGGCTTTCAAGGCAAGCCAGGCTTCTCCTAAAGCATATCTATTTGGTGGAATTATCCATGATAAAAGCATGCATTTTCCGTTAGAATGGATGAAGTTACCTCCAAGTATACTCGTATAGGAAAAAGTCAACATTCCTATTCTAATAGATCATTTTATTATTCATACACTTGTAGGTATAGGTAGGAATAGGCCATGTGTCCTCAAACTTTATTCCTATTTACCTAATTTGCACCGAGTGCATGCTTATTCCATTAAGCTAAAGGGACACAGATTTTCTCAGTAGAGTCAAAACCAAGATTTTCATCTATTTTGCATAAAATACCTGCTATCTTTAAATCCAAATATGCACCCTTAAGCCTTAAATAAGTTGAAGCCTGTAATGGATTGTGCTTGCTGATGAGAAGATGAATCACCTCTGTGCGTCTAATCTGCTCTACCATGGAGACTTATCTTGATTCCTTTGTATCTTTGGCGTACTAGAACTCGGCAATCCCAGCATAGAACGCATCTGACCACATCTTCACGACTTACTCATGTTGCCGGTACAACCTCGAATAAGATA